GCAAGCATCCTCGGTGGCTCAGCTGACAGACCATTCAACCGGTAGGTGTAAGGTCAGCAGTTTGAGACCATTCCCAAAGAATCTTGTCGTCTATACCTTGTTTACTTGGATTTCCCGTATCAAGATCTACTGAATTCCCACCTAATTACTACCGATCCCTACATAACTTTGAGCATGGATGATGTCTAAACACCAATCCATAGGTATGTACTATCTAAAATAAAAAAACAGGAGAGCGTACATGTTTGTCGCGGATAAAAACAGTTGGGGGGTCTCTGCAGCTCATTGAGCAAGTGCGACCTAGTCGACCGCCAGATCTTGATAGTGTTCCCTTTTGTTCAGTTCTCAAGGCATACTTAACAGGTCAACTCCAATTCTTGAGTTGCTAATGCATCGCTTAGCCTCAATCACTACATTAAGGTTTTGGCAGCCGTCATTTAATGGAAGAATCTAATGGGATACAAAAACAAGGAAGTTCACTCGGTTCAAATCACATGAAGTGGAGGGTTTACTGTGGATTTCGCTCGGTACAATGAAGGAACCATTTCGTACACCGGCAATCGTACTGGAAGATCAAATCGTTCAACAACTGTACTGTTTCGGTGCAGATCTGCCATAGTGTGTTTGAAGCCCCGAGACCTTCCGCCCAGTAGTTGGACAAATAACTGTTGGGCCACGATCGGCTGACCAAAAGTGGGATTGACTCTCATTTAGACGGAATATGGCACCACTCGTCCTTCGATCACGGAAACCACATCACATCGTTACACACTGACTGAAAATGATTGCCGCACGAACCCAGAAAAGCACGAAGACTGATACTCCAGGTCACCCATCTTTCCACAGTAGCAATCCAAAATCTAGAGATGGGTTCGAACCAAAAGCCTCAGACCCTGACCATTGAGCTACCTCGAGTAACCGTACGACGCCAAAAAAACTAGGTGACTGAGCATCTTCAACTAAAAGTTTCCTTGCCCATTCTCAACCTCGTGCAGACGGTAATATGTATACGAATGCCTGGGCAGGCCGTTTAAGGATGATAACATGGAAATATCCACAAATTCGCTAGTGTACAGTAACTTCGAGTCGTAGCCTCATGCAGTACGAAGTAACGAGTACGTGGAAAAGGCTCTTTCGGGCTTACGCAAACACACTGGTAAAGCAAAAATGTGATAGAAGTACCCATCTGAATTGATAACGAAACAATTATTAAATAAAATTCGACCTTAGATTACCTCGCAAATCGCCTTGATGAAATCCAAGAGAGGAGTAAAGTTCAATGTATATATGCCAGGATGTGGTGGAAGGAGTGGAAGAATAACATCAGCGGTGGCAGCATCCTGATCTAAATCGGTTGTATCGAAATGTTGTACGTTTGGAATCGTTTTCTCAGCCAAGTAGGCTGCAACTACTTGGGCACGACGTTTCAATACCACACCTAAATTCCCTGTTATCGAGTCTTTTCGGGTTAATGTCGAATCTATCCACGCCGCCTTACGGTGTAACCGCTGTACAAGGGTATAAAGCTCTGGAGCAAGTTGTTCTCGAATGAGTTGTTCCGTGGATTCAAGCACACCCGGTGAAATCGAAGCATCCGATTGTAGGGCCACTGTGAAAGAAGTTCGATCTGCATCACTAATGTTGATGCCCTGTTCCTCATTGTTTTGTGGAAGCTCCGTTCCAAACTGTCGAACGCCGGCCAGTGTAGTGTTCATCTGAAGAGTTCAGGAAAGGAGATTAAAAATTACGGTCGCTGCAAATAGGAAACAAATATAAATGCAATTCGAGAACTAATATGCTTGGGTGAAACAAAACCTACCTGTGAGCTGTGTAAACTTCGCAGTCGGCGATGTTCAGTACGTACAGCTGTGTAAACTGACAACAGGTAGCCCGCCAATAACGTTTGAAACTTGGCTCGTAAGCCACGGGTTTCCGGAAGGTATCGAGCAATATGCCAGTGCATATCTAGTTCCGGTTCAGGCAGCTTAGTGGTTGTCTGTGACTCGTGCATGTCCCCAGATACGTCGTATTCCCCCCATTCATTGTCTTTGCCATCAACAAGGCTTTCAACATTGGCCTGAATGAGAAGACATGGTGGGTCGTGGGAAATCAAGGAAAAGCTGGAGTTTAAACGTCATTCGAAACAAAAATGAATAACATCATGATATCACACAGAGCTAAGACCGAACGGAACAAGGGATACACTGACTCCTCATTAGTTGATCACGATGAGATCACAAAGTATACTAACGACCGATAGGACAGTTTCCAGCAGAATACATGGGTAATATGAATTTGATACAGACTGCTCTGAAGGGGAGATGACACGAACTAGCCGAGAAGCACTGTGCAGCTGTTTCATCCTTTCCTTACAGAAATCATCAGCAGTGGGCAATCCAAGAAACTCAGACAGTTTCGAGCGCGCGACCTTCCGACCAGTGATCGAACATCTAACAGCCCGGCTTTGAGCGGCTGAGCAGCAGTGCGATTAGGCAGGGCATAGCGCCGCTCATCCTCCAATTACAGAAACCGTATCACGTGGTCACGTGTCGACTGGCTACTCGAGTGATGACTTCTCAGCACAAAAGCACTTGAAGCAAGCAATTTGGTTATTCTGGCATCGATCAGATGATTTGTAGAAATAAGCTAATCACTGTCCGTTTAACCCTGTTTCTCTCCCTCATTTATAAAACTTATGTCTTGATTCCACAACTGAAAGAATATATCACAACAATTGGCCTTCTGTCAGTCGGCTGTGATGTCGACTTTTTGGTCCACTATCCGATGATCATTTCCCAAGGGATCCGCTTTCCTCAATCCGCCAAGGCTGTTATTGGACTGGGACTTCCTAAGGTCACAGTCAGTGACATGTGTTTGCTTGTCACTGTGGGCCCTCTGCGTACTTACGACACTTTTATGCGTGGTACATGGCATTGAGTGTACATTCTTGCCGTTGAATCTCACACAAGACCCATTACGAGGAACACTTTGTGCGAGTCTTTACTGTACTAGCGCTTACCGCGCCTTGAAGGGCATTCAGCATTGTTTGTCCTTTCTTCGGTTGTTGGTCATTAGGCGCGTGTTTCTATACTAAATTTTTTACATACGTTGGGATTCATCTTGTTTGACTGGAACTGTTGGTGGCATGAATTCGAATGAGACGTTCCTCTCTTTTATCTCATATTCTTCTGTTACCCTTTCGCATTTGTCGCTTGTATTCAATATTTATGTTTGTGACCATGCTCTTCAAAAATAACTGACAATTGTAGGTGTACAGTTGTTCTGAAGTTAGCGTGCAACGAGTCCTCAGATCCTGGTGGCTTGCGGACCAGCTTCCACATACGAGAATGGGACATGAGTGTGTAAGTACGGGGATATTTGTCCATAAGACTCATCAACTTAACGACGGACAACAGCCGCATCACCAACTACATCGTTTAAGTCAGAAACCAGGTTCAATCTGTTGTGAGTTGTTCGTTGCTGACTTGTGTCGCAACATAGTTCTGTACCACCGAACAACGCGGACAAATTTAGACAACCTTTTCTGATAAACAAGAGGACATTAGCCATTAGTTGAGGTAGTTTTCTCTAAATAGGATACTTGAGGGCCAAATGTCCACAAAGTGTTTTCAACCATCCTTAACTGAGAAGGTTTCCCTTAGTAAAATACCACCACATTCGTTGGATGCTCTGTGGATGCAGGTGATCAAAATACAAGGAAATCCATCAAGATTAATCTACTTGTTCGAGAACCCAATCAGTAGACACGTGGAAATCTTCGCTGTGGTAACTTAGTTCAGAGCCCGATTCCGGGTACCGATGACCAGGGAACAGGCAGCATTATCAGGTGCATTGGGAAAGTGCGAAAGTTGTTATTATTACTGAAGAAAATTGAACATCCAGTCCGAAAGTGAAATAAAACGAGTGAAACACGAGATAAACCTAGAGGTCGATGTACCTTGACTCCAGCAAAGTTTGCAGCGTCCATCCACAGAAGTTGACGCCAGCTGCGCACATACTGCATGTCCAGATGGGCAAACAAGGTAGCCGGACGAGTGCGCAACAATTCCGTAAAGTGATTCACACGAGCCAGAGCCTCAGGTAATTCCATTCGACGTGTGGCAACAATCAACCGGCTAAAGTTAGCGTACACGACATCCACATTCAGATGGTTCAACTCATCCACCAGCTTAAGAAATACCTGAAACATAGGGAAGGAGAAATCACCTTCATCAACATCAGCATTGGCACTGCTGTTTCAGTGCCGTACAATCACAAAGTTTACTTACTCAAATCTTAAACCTTAAGGTGAAAAAGAAAGGGAAGAGTGAAGGGAGGAATACGGTGCCGGCTTAACGCGAGTATTCTGTGTTGTTTACGAATCCAAGCGCCCAATCACGCAGCACGAACGCCACTGATAACGATTAGCCGCTATTCTTTGCAATATCTCCAAACAAATGCAGAGGGTACTGATGAGCCAATCCTGGACGGCGGACCGCACGAACAACCCTCAAACTCTTGGTAATCTCTTTCACACCCTTCTGTTAGATCTCACGTGGTCCATCTCACAGTTTGGGTCATTATGAAGAAGGCAGGCAGGACGATACCGACCTCATCAGACGACGTGCGTATCACATGACCGAGCCATAACGGTTGGTGGTGCTGGATACTTTTGCCGACCTGATGCACAATCAACTACACGTTTTTTGGTCACCCCGTTGCGAATTCCTTGGAGTCATCAGACACAAGCAACACCCCTGGAACATATATGGTCAAAAGCCTAAAGACGTCCCACACCTATTCGCAATACACGCCTTACTGGCACACATGACACTTAAGACCTAGTGATATGCATTTTCGACGCCATAAGTGACGCAAAGCGGCACATGTGATTCTGGACTTTGAGATCAATGCAATGATTTCATCACACACTTCCGTCACAGCTAATACAAATACTGACGTAAGTGAAATTTCACACAAGACTCAATGCTCCCCCTCAAATTGCAACCGGCATTTCAGAGATTCCACATTCTCAAGCATGACTTTGCACTTTGTAGGTTCAAGGGAAATGCCGAATCACAACATGGACCGGTCTAGTTATCCTCCAGGTGCAAATCCCCCTCCCAATAAGGACCGGAAGAATTATAATGAGGCGATTCTTTCATAATCGAGCATCAAATCAGCATCTGGATAGTTGAAACTTTCCTGAATTTGCTGGAGCCGCACACATGTATGATGCATAAATACCAGTAAGTTTTACACTGCCAAAGGTAGCGATTTTCACGGAGAATAGCGGACATATACCTGCTCACAACTGATTATGTGAAAAATGAACCGAAAGTTGAGGTTTGAAAGTGCTACTCTAGAAGCAGGACATAGGCGCAGCGCTTTATGTTACACTAGTCACAGGTTGATATGTGGGCCCAGATATGATCTGACGGCGAATGAAAGAGATTCCAATCCCCAGAAAGGACCACAACAAGACTAAGAACACTTTCGCCGTTCCCTAAGAGCGATAGTTGTTCGGAAAGAAGTCGATGCAGAATTCCAGTGCAGCATACCATATTCATTTAGTGTACGCATTTACTCCATGCATTTGGCATGATGGTCGTTCAGTCGTTCAGCTGTGACACCCTTTCGGTGCCTAACTGCCATGCTATCCAAGGGAAGCACGAGAGCTGGGATACTGCCAGGTTGCCCAAGAGAAGTCGAGAGGCAGAGGCGGGGTTCGAACCGCGGACTTTCTGGTCAGTAAATTCGCACTCTAACCACTTGGGCCATCTCGCCTCCATTTGGCATGATGGCCTACAACGATACCGCGGTGTGCAAATCACATGCACTTGACGACAGCATAGCACACAGCATATCGCGTTTTTGAACCACGCCGAGTTTGGAAATGAAGACGATGTTAGGCGGCTTGGCTAATTGTCTCGTTTGTTCTCATGTAGGATAGGGAAACATGTCCCCCAAACAGTTTGGATGGAAGTAGAATGCTTGAATATTTGCATCAACCGGGGGATTCGACACTGAAAAAAAGCTGATCGATGACGAGTTCAGATCTAGCAACTAACCACATTCAGGGGTTGAGCTGATCCATTCTTTTCCAGGACATACATGCCATGAACCACAGACCGGACCTGCTAGCGGCTGTACAATGAGTCCGAAGTTTAAAAACCTTCGATATAATAAGGAAGTCTTTGCCAGATCCGTGCAGCTGCAAACTACATTTCTTCCAGCTGCGATCGGAAAGGTTTTGGAAAAAGGAAACCATGATAAGAACTCTCGCAACGAAACAGCACAAAATTGTTTCCCAGGAAAACTTGTCAGAAAATGAAACTGAACAGGACTGCCACAAAGGCTTACTTTTTTCATCAAGCGTTGAACAGCGCGACGTAGAGCCGGGTCGTACAGGAGTGAACGAGGCGAACGCAACCATTGGTAAAAGTAGATAATTTGTTCATCAGCCAGGGGATTTTGATACTGAGTGACATCTCTTACCCAGCCGGTCACCATCGTACTGAGAAGATACGGGAGATAAGTGCAGAATGGGAGATACGAAAATTTAAGAGTATGAACAACATGCTCCGTCTGTAGTGCATATTACTTTTTCAGTCGGACAGCCTCCTGAAAGAGGGAGGTGGTCTCATAGCGGTTGTAAAGTAAAAGTACTGAGATGTGATGCAGGTGAAGTTCACGATTCCCAAGAATTCCGCGTGTGGTAGAGTTCCAACAATATGACGTGCAATACAGTGGAATGAAATAAACCGCTGTTTTGTAATTTTCTACTCACGTTACTCACTCAGACTGTGCATTTCACAGTTCCCTTGCGATGGAGGTCGGGTCATGAGAGAGTCAGCTTCGAAATGAGGGCCATGATATATTGATACTACCCGACATAGGGTTCTCGAGATTTTCAACGTATACAATCCGAAGCCATGTAGAGCACAGTGCAGTCATTCGTGTCTATCATTAAAGGGTACAAATTAGCGTGAAAATGCCTAGCGTCTATGCAATTGATTTAGCTGGATGACAAGTGACAGGATGATGAGCCAATGAAACTAACAGAACATCTGACTCATGGAGACCCCGTTCTAACAAAACGCTTGGCTTCTTGTATCTCGATACTTCATTTCTATCAGAGGCCATAAGACTTGTGTGTCAAGCTCCCAAATTAACTCATATTCAGGCCTTTGCATTACAGGGTGTATGGAAGTCAAGCGAAACTGCTTGCTATTGTGACCGTTTGTAAGTGTGTAACGCCGCCATGTCAAACTACACAAGCCCCGAGTGACTTGCTATCCTAGGCTTCTAGGCTGGACTGATGGTTAAGAATTATTCCCAGTTCATACGCGCCTTGCATAAAGGCGATCTGTTCATGCTAACCACCGGGCTTTTCGGTCACTCGTTGCAGACTATGCATGAACTCTGCCAAGCGAAATTCCCAATGGAAACTTAATAATTGTTTCACTACTGGAGAATAATTGAAATATGGTTCCATGAAGGGTGGTTATATTTTGCCCGCTGAGAATCAAACCCTGCTGGCCTGACTTTGTTCCTGGACGAAAAACAAGTTAAAACTGCCGCGAAGTCAAACAAGGCAAAGTTAAAGATCAGTTGTTAAGGGTCGTGTTGCAGACACAAACAGCTCTAGTAGCTTGTTGATGCGATTGCTCGCGAAATTTTCTGACTACATCTCTATCTTATCAATCCTTATACCCCACGTTCTTTCTAATGCTGCATTTCCGAACGTTGAAATCGAAAAGTGTGAGAAGCGGTGCAACTGTTCCGTACAGTGAATAACAATGCTCTGAAATACAAAACATAGACATCAGCAAGTGAATACTGTTAACATTGTCAAAGCGTAAAACAGAACCTCTCCAAATACTCACCGCAATACACGAAACGCTGCGCTACATGCCGCAGTCTCGTCGTAACTTGTGATGTTCGCCCCCAAATTGACACCTTGGTTGATTTGTTCTTCCAACGGTCGGTCAGTCGCATCAAGGCGATCAAACGAGAGTAGCGTTGCGCCTTCAAGTTCAGGGATACGACTGGCTACAAGCAGCGTGTTCACTGCCAAGTTGGACAACTCTAATTCAACGGTCACATGAGGATAACTCCCCGGACGAGATATTTCAATCACCTAGGGATAAAATGATGTGGTTCTGGCTTAGTTCACTTGTTGTTACTTGTGAGCAAACAGGAAGACAGTGAATTTTAACAATGTGAACACGAAGATCTTTGGAGAACAGGTTAGTGTAGGGCTGCAGAGCAATCTCCAAACGGGCACCTAGTGTTATGGAAGACGTTCAAAGCACCGCTTCGCTAAACCCAATTCAACAACTTTTTCAGTTGGGATACTAAAAGACCATCGTAGCTCTCATTCAGGCTGAATGTATAGTTACCTCTAATACTAACCGACTATCAGGTCTCAAACTGAACATAATATCATTGAGACAAACAAATTTTCTGAATTCAGATTTTTGTCGAACAGAGTGTGGGCTTAACTACAGCTACTGCAAGCTTGGATTGATCGAAAGCGCTACGCTTCATATGTGCATGAAGCGGCAAGCCACCACTGCATTGATAACATAAGAGAAACGTTAATTTGAACGTGTTTGCATCACCTGGCATATAGAGGGTATCCTACAGTTACGATTTAGAAATTACTTAAAAAATTAGCACCCGATTTAATTCTCACTAAGAGGCTTGAAATAGCATATCATGGTGATTCTGTATGACACTCGTATGAAACCTAATAAATTCGTTGTAAGTGCCAGAATTTTCTTTAGTTTCGCCAACTATTTGTTTGCAGATGCACAGCGAATGAAGACTGAAACAATGATGTTGGTGACTGCATGGCAATCATTGGCTTGTTGATAAATCAGGGTCTGGAGGGTGCTTACACTGTGAGTACTGCGAGCTGTGAACTTGAACTGTGCGTCCTCGCAGTACAAAATTGTCCCGAGTAGGCTGTGGAGTCATTTGCGGCAAGCATTTACGTGGCAGCCGTGCTGTAACGTGGTCATAATGAAGACGATTGAAAAAGTGTCCTGAAGCTCAAATTTTCACATCCGTTCTGCAGAAAGAGGGAAGGGTTTTGAAAGACCGGCCGTTTAATGCCCATATCAGATACGGCCTCCTTCCTCTTCGTTTTATACTTATCATAATTGCTTGAGTAATATTACACCGAATGAAAAAATTAAAAGTGTAGAATATTCCTCTCCCGAATGATCACTGGGCACATTTCAAACCCCAAAACATAACGCATTGCGTTGCGGGAATAAACTCGATTGGCGCTTCGAGTCGGTCATCAACACACAATACAGACAATGGTGTGGTATCATCAAGCTGCCTGTTTTCCATCGGAGAATCACAGTGGTACATCTCTTAAAGGCATGCAAAAACACAATATTGCAACATACTGGAGGGGTGAAGAAACGAGTCACTTAGGGTCAAACCAGTTTAAAGAAAACGCTTATGAAGATGCCACCACCAACCAACTTACACCAGCTTCCTCCATTTCCAATAACAGACGCTGATCATCACTTTCCTTTCCACCAAGGTCAGGACAGCCGGTTGGTGAGCACCAAAGTATGTGGTTTTGTTTGGCCAAATGTCTCGCATAAAACAGATCACAACCAAGTTCAATAGCTGACACGGAGCTAGAAGGGAGCTGGGACAGTGCGGTTTCAGGATCTGTCTGAAGTTCGATCGGAGCTGGTGCATCGGAAGTAGGTAGGTTACCCACAGGGACATGGAGGTACCGAGCCAATTCTAGTTGACGTTCAAGTCGAGCTTCAGACTACGGTGTGGGAAACGAGTCGGGTGTAAATGACTTCATTGTAATTAGTCAAAATATGGACGAGAAAAGTTTAACACATGACAACTTTGATAGGACCTAGACAACTTCATTAGCGACACCTGTGTTCCAATGTAGATTCCGCGAAAGCAAAATTCACCCGTCTACTCAGCACAAATAAGAGAACCGCTTCGAATCAACTCGTCTAATCTAAATATCATTTCTAACTTCTAACCGACTTCTAGTCGGTACTTTCCAAAATAGGCCTACGAATAAATAACAATTCATAAGTTTCATGTTCTTCCGAGTAGAGTTAGTTACACTCGAATCCAAGTAAGGGAATACTAACAGATCAGTTTGAAAGTGATAACCCTAGGGTGTCCACCCACAAAATTTCCTAACTCATTCACTTTTGTGCCTAGCTGTACAATTTCGCGCTTTCACTTCCGGGAGTCCACAGACCGAAGCAAATAGGCTTGAAGCTGCGCATCACAACACACCGAATAACTCCTGACCATCTTGCATTTTAGCTGACCATCATGAAACAAAGAGGCCTAACCCGGGACGATATAACGTGCATTTGCGTAACACGAAATTCCGTGATACAGCCTAGGGATCTTTCGTCGTTCGAAGCCTCCCAGTGCACAATACTATGACTTGAGAAGACCCGTTAATTATGACACCATTTTGTTCAGGGGGGTAATGACTGCTTGGTCTAGACACATTGAGGAGTGACAGGAGTAAAAGCTGAGCAAATCCAGCAACAACTGAGACATTGAGTCCTTCATCCAAATCCTCAACAGGTCACGGGTTTGTTACCACTTTAATGGTGCACAATGGAATTATTATCTGCAGCCTTAGGCGCCTGACCGAAAAGCATAAATAAACATCCTCTAAAAACATGGGATGAAACATTGAGTCCTTCATCCAAATCCTTAACAGGTCACGGGTTTGTTACCACTTTAACGGTGCACCTTAGGCGCCTGACCGAAAAGCACAAATAAACATCCTCTAAAAACATGGGATGAGGGAGAGGTCGGAGAAGGTTGAAACCTGCAGGCACCGATAAAGAAAGCCAGTGCGTGGATGAGCAGCCAAGTAAACAAACAGCCCTTGTGGTGCTTATTGCGATATACAAGCATTCGGACTCTCTATGCCCCCACTCAACGGCTGTTCCTTCGGGTCAACATCATTGTTAGCGGCTCGAACGAAAGACAACAACCGGCACCATGAACAAGCGCATAGTGGGTTGTCCAAAAGTGAACTGGGTTGGAATCCTCGAGAACCACTGGAAATCTCACACCGTCGGATGCATGCGATTTTAAGTCGAAATATAATCCAAATGAAGGTAGTTGACGGGGCAAAAGCACTGAAAAATGATAACAAAAGTAGAGTTAACGTGACAAAAATGTGAAGGTACACCAAGATGAATAGTCATTGACGGTAATCATAGACAAGAAACGAAGTTCTTCCTTAACGACCAACTTAAGAAACCCAGTCAAGCGGTCGCTATACCAAAACAGTCCCAACACGTTCCGACTTCCAACGATAAAAAAGGTGACACGAAAGGTTTAGATGATATTACCTGAATAAAGTATCGGATCCCACGCTTGATTGCAGTCTGCTGCCAATTAAGTAAGCTGTAGGCATCCGAACCATTATTCGCTTCATCCCCACCTTGGACATCCATCTCGTCTAAGGTACCGCCTAGTGGAATCACCGGAAACCCGGCTAGTGCGGGCAGCTGAGGAGTGCGACGACGATTGGTTATAACCTCACCAAGCGACCAACCGATTTCATTCGTATCGCTTGCCGTTCGTTGATCCTGACGTTGCGAAGTTGCGTGCAGGAGCACTAGGATTGGTGCGCCAGTGGCACCTGTGGACGAGACCCCAACTGATCCTGTAGTGTGTGTGCGTTTAACTTGCCGGACATTGTTCAGCCACCGCTGGATGACCCGTCGGGCACTAGCTGCATCGGAATCAACATGGGTTTCAAACGTTAAGGAAGACGGGGGGAAATCCCCATCCGACGCTTCAGCCACCAGCTTTCGCCGCTGTCTCTGGTACAGCTTGTTCAAATCTGGTAGTTGGTTAACACGTGCGTTGTCTATTAGACAAACGAAGCCAGAAGCTGTCCATGGCACAACCAGTAGATACAACTAAAAAGAGGAAAAAAGTAAGGAGATTCAGGATGCGAGTAATGCGGATGAGTGATGAGGACACAGCTCCTGTAAACTACACGAGAGCCCATATGTAATCACACAGTAAAAGTAATGGTGCATTTAGCACGTAATTGCTTGCTGATCACCCAACATACGAAGCACCGGAAAATCCTAATGATGAGCCCTTATTATACCAAGTTATTATTGCTGGTTTCAAGAATAGAAGGATCGGTGGCATTAAAATGATACTCATCATGTTACAAAGCAACTTGAGGACTGAAACACCAACTTGCTATACCTCATATCACTATAAACAGATAAAAGTGGTCCGGCGTCAAAAGGAGTCCCCACAAATAGAGTAAACATGGTGAGTTAGCCCCATTCCGGTGCCTTCTCGTTGCAGCTTAAAAAGGAAAACGAGAAAACTCTGCCGTCATAGATGATGACGGCTTGCACCCAATGTGACTATCTCAGCTGTCACTTCAATCAAATTTGGAGGATGGGCCAAGGTCATGTTACAATGACCATAAACATTGACTGACTTCACTTACAGGAAATTCTCAAACCTCTTGGAACTACTTATCAACTATAATTTGCCCAAAGGAGGAAAAATCTACACAATGAGAGAAACTTCCGTCAGAGAAGTCGTTACTAGAGGAGCCAGACAACCTATGATATGGTTCCAGTGATTAATGGATGAGTGACTCCACATTCTGTCTAAGTGCGGGTTAATCACATTACCGATCAACCACCGGTTGCCGGGAGGTTGCTTCGTGAGATGAGCAATTCCCAGTAGGGAAAAAACAGCTGCACAGCGCTCCACGGCTCTTCAGCATAGACTGGCTTCATTTACAGGACGAAATCTTCATGGAGAATGACCAAAACGGACATTTCCATTCATCCAACCATTGCGCGCACTATCCGTACGCTTTATAATCTCTCGAAATATTTAGAAATGTCCACAAAACCTACCAACAGACTGTAGTGGGTAAACTGTAGGTTGACTGTTGGGACCTAACACTTTGCCTTCCTGGATTGGGACAACGTAACCGTAAGTCTTATGATTTCGTTCTACACCAGGGCACCTATCCATAAAGGTCCCATGATCACGCTTTCCATTTTGGATGGTTTGTTGCTAAACAAGAGAGGCCTCCCACCAGCATAAGGTGTTACATTTGTGTAGCTATCTATCATACCTAAAATCTTATACGAACGAACTAACGGTGTTCCTTTGGGATCTCCCATATCACTTGTAGTAACTGACATTTTCGAAACTTTGTCCACCCACCCATCATGTTTGGCGCCGTTTTTTTGGACGGCACATCCATAATCTAGAAAAGAAGCCTTTTTAACATGCCTCACTAGGTGTGGAACAGCACAGAGAGAGGAGATCAAGACCGAACCATTTGTTTCTTTGATTGTCATCTGGCACCAGAGGCATCTACAGAAGGCGCACACTGCTACGTTGACATTTACACCATGACTCTGCTTACCCGCACTTCATCACACGTACTGTTGTGTGGTGGGGGTCAATAAGCTAAACTCAAGCAATACTCAACTAGAAAAAGAACTCCCGAATACGAACATCGTCAAAAACAAACGGTGGTCTCCCTTAACAATACAAAACCATAGGGATGCTACGAAGCGAGATTTGTGGAGGTGAATCTTCGTTCAACTGTAGCACCCTTTCGGTGCCTAACTGCCATGCCACCCGAAGGAAGCGCGAGGGCTGATATGCTGCCAGGTTGCCCAAGCCTAGACAAGTGAAGTCGGGAGGCAGAGGCCGGGCTCGAACCACGGACATTCCGGTCAGTAAATTCGCACTCTAATCCCTGAGCCATCCCGGGCAGAGGCCGGGCTCGAACCACGGACATTCCGGTCAGTAAATTCGCACTCTAATCACTGAGCCATCCCGCCACATTGTGAATCTTAGGTGTTATTCGAAATAGCCCCAAACGAACGGCTAATACAATCTAAAGATATTTTATTAGGTCTTGCAGAAAGAGTCCAAAAAACTACAGCACTATATGAGGTGTGTTTAGAAAATCACACGCAGAATGTCACGGGCAACAATCCAGATAACCCCAGGTGGGTTTTCAGGTGATCACTGCTCTTCCTTTTGATGACCGCACACCAGCACGTGTCAGCTCGACTGATCCAAAACCGTTCTCCACATGCTCGCCAGTTCCACGCCTTCTATTCCGACAACGCTGGAATCCGTGGCGATTTGTACCGCCTCGGCCACCAGCCTCTGTGGCGTAGACCGTAGTCCTCGCCCAAAAACTTCAATATTTTCTAAATCTATTTGGTGTTCCGTATCCAGTGTATGCTCCGCCATTACCGAGTCATTCAGTAACGCTCGATATTCATCTGCCTTTTCTCCTCCTGCGCTCTCCGATTCTGGTGTGAAGTTACCTGGACGTCTGTCCTATATAGATAGACCTCAGTGCAGTCGTTACAGTTAATTTTGTAGACAAAGTCCCCGGTTCTGTTTGCTGGGAGGCGATCCTTTAATTGCATCAGTGCAGAGCGCAGTGTTTCCCCTCTGGAGAACTATTCTTGTGTTAGCCGTGTTTAGAATCCCTCGAATGACCTACAATATCCCTGATTTATATGGAATAACAGCAGTCCTAATCCATTCCCTGTTGGGTTTCGCTATCAGTATCAGCACCCTTCTCAAATGACGCCTAATCAAACTAGCTGGATATCCACTACAACGAAGTTTGTTCTTTGCTTCGATTCGGGCCGCTGTCCGACAAGCTTCTTCTGTGCACAGGGTGATTACTCGGCTAAACAGTGATGAGGCAACACTAGCGAATACCACTGTCCGTTGGTTTCTCGTACATTGTCGTCTCAAGTTTCCTTCGACCTTATGTGTTGAACAGTCTAAAAAGGCCAGTGTACCCTAAGATGACTCTGTCTCAGTGCTAAATTTGATGTGTGGATTCAGTTCATCCAGACGGTTGTAAAGCTCACTGACTTGTCTCGTTTTATCACGATGTCATCTACAAAACGCCAGAATAACTTGGGTGGATATGGGAATTCGGCTGAAACTTTGTGTTCGAAATCCACCATAAATATATTTGCCGAAACCGGAGATATTGGAGATCCCAATACTAGACCTTGTTCTTGTGCGTAAACCACGGAGTCTAAAACAAAATGGATGAGATTCAGGCATGACTTTATACCTTCTACAGTTTCATCTACCGTAAGCTGTGTTCGTTCCGAAAGGGTGGTGGCTGCTAGTAGCAGTCGATTAGTTACTTCCAAAGAGTTCCCTCTTGGCACATTTGCACCTAACGAATTGACAGTCAAACTCACACTCACACACACACACAAACACATTTTTCAACAGACATAAGCCAGGGTAGTCAAACCCAGTGGACTTGATACGCACACAATGGGTTGAAACGCATTTCCCGATTAGACCATCACACCGAACTGTGTCGTCTACCTCGTAGGGCGCTCTTCGCCCAGCCTTGTGGAGAATGGAGTTGACCGTCGGTCAGTCTATGACCTGACAATGAAGCCTCAAACCCCTTATCAGTCAACTTAGTCGCGTTGGAAACTGCCCCCCCTTCAAATATGGGGACACAGTTCAGTACCGCACATCACACATACCAACGTAAGATTGTCCTTTTAGCATCCACGATTAGCTTTTACCAAATTAAGTCTACGGTTATCCGCACCATCCATTTACCATTCCTCTTGTGGTCTTTTGATCATTATCCGTGGTAGCGGAAACGTCGTCGTGGTAACGAAACAAAAGCCTCTCCGTATAACAATCCGCAGGGTGCTCGACGGCAACAAGACTACCCTTGGTTCAGACTGCCTAAATCTCATACCTACATTGAAGATCTGAGGTTTGTCGGATAATTCGCTTAATACCGAAACTTCTGGGTATGGGCTGAACATCCAGCAGTATAAAAAACGAACGTTTACATCACACAAAAAACATTTACACGAAGATGGCTGACAAAAAAAGACAAACAAGCCGAAATGTAGCTAAGCAAGTGATGAGTAAGTTTGTTTGATTCAACGGACACAACACGTTAACCCTCATACGTGACAGTAGTAATAACCAAAAGAGACTCACTTGACGAGTAGGGTTCCGTCGACCGATGGTGGCCACTGGAGAGGGTTGTTGGTGGTGGAATAAGAAAACATGTCGAAATGATCGATTGGATAGGTAAGGATATTGCGCCAGAGAGATGAAACGAAGCTGATCCAAGTGAAACACAGCCTCCTCAATCGAAGTACCTGGGAAGTTATTGTGTTTCAAAGCCTCCTTGTCCACACTACACAAGCAGCCAAGACGCATGAGGGCACGGAACAACGGGGGTATGTTCAACTCGTATACGCCCTCAATATCCGGTCGAGCCAGATCCGCTGCTATCTCTGATGCGTGGATCGCGTAGACATCCTCAGGGACATTATACTCATAAAGATGATACACTGAGTGACTTCGCGGCAACAGACGACCGCTGACGCTACCACATCCACTGGCAGCTGGGCCTCCATTTTGAGAAGTCGAGAGACCGGCAACTTTTCGATAAAGTGGACCGGAATCTTGTAGTTTTGGTGTTCGCAAGTTGACATAAAAACGCCGTGGAACTAGGACGCTCACATTGTGCAACGCAGGGGGAGCTGACTGATCTGCAGAATCCACAGAAATCCACGCCGTATAGCGGCCCAATTGCCCGGGGTCAGGAGTTATTTCAATAATCTATGAATGTTTTGGAAAATGACAAAGCGGTACAAAGCGGTACCACACATTGAACACAACATGGGCGCTCTTTAGAAGGGTCCTGCAGTGCGACCAGGATAAGTTATCCGTCAAAACCAAAATGGTATGCAAATGAGTGTATTTCACTTACCAGCTAACACTTTGTGATGACCACAGCCATGACTGCATAAATCTTAGAATCACTAACGATAATGCCCGAACAAAGGAGTAATGTCTGTCTACCAAATGATGGATAATAAACAGTCTGATACAGACGAACGCCATGGATGTAGGAAAACGTTTTGGTGGGTTCTAACTATCCCAACTGTGTCAGGCGACATCAAGCATAATTTTAGGTGTGCTTAGTTATTCACTTCAAAAATTGATACTCAGAAACACTAGACATCTTAACATTGTGAGAAAAGGGTAACCAAGATAAACACTATGATTGATGTCTGGTCTAAACGGTTCATTATTTAGCCTCAAGCTCCGTTCGTTCTCACTGACAGGGCTTAGCATTCAGTTGGTTCTTTATTCTGATTCTACTGACTTCTGAGTTCATTTTAAATAATTCGGCACGTGACGGCACAGGCGTGGGTCTGCTTACTTAGATGTGCGTCTTCTAATTCCTACATTGGCTGATTCGCTGCTCGCCGTACCGCGCTATCTACATGGCCACATTATAAAGACACCGCAAGTTTATTCTGTCCAAACAGTCTGAGTATAACGAGTTCAAGCAGAGTTTTCGCTAGACCGTGAGGTTCGGGAACCTAAGGATTACCAACACAAAAGAAGTGACCTTGGATAGCCCATAAACATAAGAGTTCTGGAATACGTAGACAAAGTCAGGAAATGCAATCAAATGTTACTTAAAAGTTACTTAAAAGGTATTGTAATGTTCGGTGAACGTTTGTTGATTCCTTCAAATCTACCGACACTTCATGACTCTCATTCCACATTTCTGACACTGCTTGGGCTATAAACTTCACCTGTATTTTCCTTGACGTTTACGTCGGATCTGCTCAAAGACCTGTGGTACAATCTGGAATGTACGTTCGTATTGAATCATTGTTATGTATTATTCATTGACACTTCTATTAAATCAATAACCGTTGTTTATTTGTTGTTATTACAGAACCATACCGAATACAACGACAGTCTTCTCGACTTAAGAAAGGACTTCGGGTGCGTATACTCAGATAGTATCTCAGCCGCATATCTTGCATCAATCACCTAAGTTCAAAGCGAAACCTAAAGGTATCACACAATACCGTACGTCATCGGCTTTAATTATTGAAAGACTGAACGTGAAAGGCAATGTCGTGCATCGATCCTCGCAAAAAGCACCACAAAGGAGACAGGGTACGTTTTGCAAAGGTCCAATCCAGATCGGAAGGCTAGTTGGATGCCTCCACACTCACAAATCTAGGTGGCTGAGGAGGGTGTTGATGACAACCATACACACGCCCCTTGGGAGAGAAAAAGCTTATTGAACTCACATTGTCAAGAAAGGTGAAGCAGTTAGAGGTGAGTCTCAACCTGTTCTATGGTCTGGAACAGTACAATATCTGGAAACTTAACTGTAGAGAGCAACATTTACCTGCCAAATTGATGTATACAGTGCTAGGCGAGTCTGAGTTAGGTACCGCTCCATTCCACGTTGGCGCTTGGCAGCACCCAGAAAAAGTGCAGCTTGTTCACCTTCGAGTGCCGAATTATCCATCACCTGGGCTTGATGTTTTCTTGCATACTGTCTTCGTTCAGCCTGGATCCTCCACTTTTCCTGATGAAACGCTAACCACGTGGCCAGTTTAGCCGGAGTGCTCGCCTCCTTAAGCAGCGGTGGATCTCCAAGTTGCTCCCGCCATGGTTTGGGTGGCCCGCTCGAGGGTGAACGACCTCTCTTGACCGACGTGCCCAGTCGACCAGAGGGTCGATGTCGGACAATGACAGGATGAACAGCTTCCGTTCTGCAGACACCCGAATCCAAACTAAGTTCCTCTATATCACCAGCATCTTTGTCGCCAAAGTTTAATAGCTGCTGTTCTGCTTTTTTAGCGGTCGCTGGGAACATCATCTCGGTCAACTTTCGTTGTTTGCAAGTGTCTGTTTTCTCGGACAGACGACGAAGCAACCAATCAGGATGACTTACGCGTGGAACGGGGTTGGGGATTTGTTGTAAAGCAGCGGGGATTGTGATAATCTTTTGAATGCAACTTCCCAATCGTTCCAGATAGTAAGACCAATCCAAGATGTCTCGCAAATCTGTATCCTCATCCAGGCTGCTATCCTTGAGCCACTTGCGCAGATAATATCGCTTGACGGAAGGCTCAGCCTACATGAAAGTAAAGAGAAGGGGGGTCAATATCCTCTCCAAACCCAGCAGCCCAAAAGTCAGCTTGATTGGAAAACACGCTTCAACGCTAGGAGGAAGATATGGTGTGAAAACAATAAACGGCATCAACAACGGTACACAAACTACTAGGTTGCAGTCATCAGTTTCATGCTTAACCTCCTCTGATCTCTACCACAATAAGTTCACGCAGCTATTTTCTAAAATAAAGCCCTATGAATGCTTTAAAAACAGTTGTCTTCACTCATGAATGACGAATGGTTTTAAGATAATCGCGCTTCTAAGACAAAAGTAACAGAAGTGTTACAGATGAATGCCTCTAGCTAACGGTAGAGACATGTCTCCCTACCTGGAATATTGCCAATGGTATGGCACGTTCCGTAACTGGAGCACCTTCTGGTTGTCTTGAAATGACAAACCGACAGGAGAGACCTGCATCTTTAACAATCTGATCACCCAGAAATTCCGCCATCCGGCGAGCCGTACTCAAAGATGTGGACTTTTGACTGCCATAATCTTCTAGGCGTCGGGACATGCTACGATTTTCGGAAATCAGATCAAATAATTCTGAATCTGGCATATCTGAACCCTTGGAGTAGAGGACATCCAACCAATGATCTGCGACCCGGGCAACAGAAGCGTATACTTCGGTAAGCGTCGTTCCATGGAGAAACGCCTCAAATACGGAAGACTGGAAGATTTTGATTAGCTGGAGCTCTCCGTTTCGTTTAATTTCAAATCCCTTCAGTTCGGCCAAACTTCCATCAAAGTTAAACACGGCGTAACGTTTTTTCAACCGCTTTCCCTCTTCTTTTGCAGCCGGTAAGACCATGGCCTTATACGGTCCGTCCACCTCGAAAAATATGGAGTTTTCTGACCGAACTTTGTAGGTCATTGTGTTTGGATCGATCAGTTCGTGATATTGATCGTTGGTGAATAAATCTTGCACCATAATGTTTAGGACCGCACCAGGATAGGAGATGGAAATTCGAGATGGCTTCGTGCCAGTGGTCTGGAATTCCAGGTTCTGCGGGAAGCTGGCAGGTAGAATGCACCAGATTCCGTCAGTGTCCAACTCCAAACCCCGTCCGACCTGGTGAGGGACGATAGAATGAAAAATGAGAAGTGTTATAAGAATTTTAGTGCCATTTGGATGTACCTGTCAACACATGAGTGGAACGATTGATTTAAAAACGACCAACTGTGAACAATCAAGAGGCACCTGTTAACTACAACCGAATATGTTAAGTTGCCAAACAGGTAGGTTTGTGTTTCTTCGATACAGCAGCTGCAGTATTAGTATTCACAAAAGAATTAGCACGCAGAGAATGAGACGTCATTCGTAGGGTGGGCTACGTTTATTGGTAGCCCGGTGTTCAATCGCTGCTGAATAGTAGCATGATATGGAAAATAACTTTGTAAAATATATAAGTGTGTATTTACCGTTGGTACTTTAGACAGGATCCAAAAACAATAAAGCGAGTTCAACCACGTGTATCTTATGACTTCCTCTGTATCGGGGGTCTGGCTTTTGATTCTATGGGTTTGGCGCATCATATACACATACAACAAACGAGCTGACGCAACCGAAACGACTCACCTGTTCAATCAACTCTCTTGATTTCGTGATTATTTGTGCCCCCGTGTGACATACAATCCCAGCCATCTCCATCGAATACCAACGAGCGCCACGACGCATTACGTACCCGTAAAAGGAATTCAAGATACACTTATGCGCCAGTTGTAGACTATCATATAAAACCAACATAGCATTCGCCTCCTTCAGGGAACTCGAATCACCCGTTCCAGCGGCCAGCGCAGCAGCCGCTTCGTCGGAACGCCGCTTCCAAACCTAGGAAGAGTGGGAGGAGACGAAGGAATGAGCTACGTATCAAAGAGGAGAAATAGCAACGAATACGTTCTGATGAGACAGGCAGCCAATAGAGTGGATAGTCAAGAGTAAACAGGACATGTGTGCCACGTTGTCAGGCTAAACAAGAAATTTCGTGTGAAGAGAGTTATTGGGACGAAAAAATTGTCTTTTAGAATAATGAAAACGAAACAGTTTCCAGTTAAGGCAGATTAATCGACCCATTATGAAGCCAAGTAGCCTCTTCACAGTCTACTATTCGTGACGTCTTCATGACCCACGGAGGACTTTACATGGAATATGGTTTCAGTTTGTATCATGACCATCGTTCATATCTTCATCACTGCTATTATTATTACTGATATCATTGATATTAGTATCAGCAAAGAATATTGGTGTTTCAGTGCCGTACAACTATGCTAATTCATTTGAATAAAGCCCTATAATGAAAAAAGGGAAACCGTGAGGGAGGTCTGGAGCTAAATTGCCGCAAACATCAGCGGTGTCCACACTCAGAACATCCAAGAAATCCGGATAGAAACTTACACTTTATTCCGTTCTACCATGCCATATTTTGTTCATCTCTCGGCTTCTACCAGTATGAAGTAGGCACAGAGCACAATACTTTTCTTGACGGACCGTAAATCTGAATTCATTGCCCATGATCACGATATACTGGATTAGACTATTAAATGCATTCCTTGGGTGAAGTAACTGCTGCTTCGCAGCAGGCCTAGATCCTAATTATCTAAGTGTGCTTTAGTTGGTTTCAGAAAATTCCAGCCACTGTTCTGAGGCATGTGTTCAGAAATCCGGTGTTTCGGGTCCTCCAACAGGACTTCTTGCCACTTCTTGAGCCTGTATTGTAAGCTAGTACTCGTTCTTTGAGACTCAATTATATGCATTTTAGATGACGCAAGTGTCGCGAACCGGAAAATTCTATTCTAACCTTTGAGATTCGTACGTTCATTTCGTCTGTCATTAAGTCGCCAGACTTAATGCAAATTCGGAGAAACACCGAGTTCCACAACTTCAGTTTCACATTTCAAACCCTTAGAAGTATTTAAAAGACTGCATCCCACAGCATCAATTTATAACTTGTGCATGCGAAGCGCATGCTGAAGGGTCGGGTGACACTAGTCAGCCTTTCAAGTAACGTTTACACTTCTCACTCCTATATGCATTTTGTTCCTCTACCGCTCGACGGTGTGTGTGTGTGTGTGGTGCATACAGCCCCAGTCCCGACCAGATTTCTGCTTATCCTTCTCGAGTCGTGTCTCCACGTTCTCTCATAAGATGATGCAGGGAGTTCAGTTTCTTTGTGGCCGCCAACCTAAACCCCGGCACCTTTTTGGAAAGGGACATCACCGTCTATTCGCTCTAGATAGCTAGGACAGTCTCTCACCCAAATAGAGGCAAATAATGTAAACAACGACTTAGGATTTGATCTCCATTCTTAAACAGATCTGGTGAGGGTTCTTGGAGACCACGAGCTCAGTGGAGCCTGAGGGAGAAAAGGCGTTCGAAGTATTTGAATTTAACCCGGGGCAAATCGTTTGACTGCAACCATCTTTGGATTTACATGGTTTACATATGAGAAACGTGAGGACCGAACAATATCGGGTTGTTCAGGCCTACACCACAAACATGTCAAGTCATATAACTCCGACCCTCTTGCTGCGGTGACACATAAGGGTAGGTAGTTGCTGTTGAAACTGTTTGTGTATCATTTTGACCAACTTATACCAGCACGTGAGGTCGTTCTTGTGAAGTTCAATAATTCGTGTGCGTGGGATCCAGCTAGCCAGCTTACCTTGGTGAGGCCTTTGAATTTGTACCGGCGATCGCGGAAAGCCCGCACAGTATCCACATAAAATGAATTCTCCCGCTGACAAATCATCGCCACACGTTCCTCCGTACGTGTCGTGTGAATACGTTTGTATGCACGTCGGCAGAAATCAGTCAGGCGTTTCTTTTCCACCACTACCTGTTCCTCCTTGGATAATTCATAGAAGGCTTTCAACACCGTACGTGGCTGACCGGTCACCGCATCGGTCACCTTGACAGGAAAACGTTCTTGCGACAGCTGAGCTTGAACCCGATAGACCTCCGGTCGAGAAGCCGTCCATAACTCGGCGCGCCAGGTCCATGGCATGAAACGTTGACAAGAAACCCCCGGCTTGTAAAACTGACAGTTTGAACAGCGAGCTGTGGAATTTGAGTCAACGGCAGACGGTTGAAGTCGGTTTGTAAGAATGATATTGGGGTACATAGCTCCCACATCGAGATGATAAATGACCGGACATTCAATGCGATTAGGGGTGGCGGCCAGTTGCGATAAGGATTCTTCAACCCGCCGACATACCTGCAAGAGAATAAGAGAAGCCAAATGAAGTGATTACAAACATCTTCAGCAAGCAACGGGCAAATGAAGTCGGAGCCAAGTTTTTGCTTGCGATGTGAAAATAACATGAACACCTACGAGATGACAAACACAAACGTACTTTATTGAAGACTTCTTTCGGGACTAAACTGTGCAGCGTGTCATCATCTTCGGCGCCAACCTCTGTTTGAAGAGCTCGTTTGAGACAGCGTGTGACATCACTCCGTAGCATTTCCAATGCGGCGGGAACGAGACGGAATCTTACGGGGATGTCTGCACGGAAAACACCAGCTTCCAGTGCTTCCACATGGCCCCCCACATAAGTCTCTGAGTCGATGAGACGACCGTCCTCAGTGAAGCGACCTAGACCTTCAGATCCGACCGGAAGGAGACTCCCTGGACCGGAGTCTGTGTTAACCGTTTGTTTATGAGGAAACACCACATTGGCCGCGTAGGCCTGAACCATTAACAATGCTTCACACAACGTGCCCGATCCTTTGCGCAACACATCGTCCGGATTAAGTGGAAGTATGGTACATAGGGCGAACACAAACGGGTGAACGTATTTCATATAGAGGTAATAAGTAGCCACAGCATCAGACACAGAATAGTTGGCCAGTTCTCGAGGAGCCTCTCGGGCCATTTGGCACATGACTTCAGGATCAACTTCGACGGGGTCATAATGTAACTTAGCTTTAGCAACTGCTTTCAACCCACGAGCGCCAACAGGCAAATAACTATCGCGTTTAACCCAACACAAGCAGTCAATGTGAACGGCTGGTCGCGAAAGGTACTCCCCGGTGGAACCACTCCTCCCAGGTCCAGCTGTTGACTTATGTCGACTGAAAGCAATCTCCTCGGACATGGACAGTCCGTAGTGTGCAGCTCGAGATTCGATGAATGGCCAATCGAACATATCACCATTATAGGTGACAAACACATTTGGCCGCACCCGCTGTATATGTTCGAAGAAGAAGCGAATGCAATCCAATTCACTTGCCAAATTGTGAACAGTAAAGTGGCCGGGGAACTCGGGCCTTGGAGTAAATTCAAAATTCTCCACATCTTCGGACAAGATCTCACGATTACACAAGAGAAATCCGGCGCCATCGAGCATGTAGGATATCATCATGATCTGGAGGTAAACAGAGAAATCATTGAATTTCCATCCAAATCAAGGTTTATCGAAATACAGGTAATTATTGGACGAGTAGTTGCTTTCTCAAAAATCATCTCCCTCAATGACAGAGTAATCTCCGGAGTATACGCAACCAATGAGGAAAACAAATAAAAAATTTGGAAGCATTTGGGACTACTCTTCTGGACAACGGCAATTGCACGCACTCCAATTCATGCAACTCATATATACTGTGTAACTCGTCGACTATCGAAATAAGAAGGGCGTGACAGTCAAGGATTAAATGCTTACTTCTCATGCGGGAACTGTGTTGAGATGCTAAGATGTTCACGTAGACACCATATTCAATATATTTAGTACAGTGGTAATACCGAAAGAAGCACATTTTCCATTAGCAGTTGGCAACAAGTGCCTCATCATAAAACACTTAAGTTGGAATGCCCGAGTATTAACAGAGAAAATATCTATGAAAGGATTTTTTTGGTTTGTAGTAGATGTTAGCTGCTTTCAAGAGTGCATAGCGGCCACAGCATGCAAATTACAACTTACAAAAAAATGGTTTAAGGACAGATTTAACCTCAACTTCAGGCCACCGTATTTAAGCCCCCAAATAAGCTAAACCCTAGAAATAGGACCTCCTCGATAAAAACATATACGTCAGCAAAACCTAAGGTGAACAAAAAGCAAGGACAGGTAGTCTAGTGGACCGATTACTCACCTGATCAATATCTGCATCGGGGAACTTCAAGGGAAGTTTCGTAGTCTCGATGTCAAAAGCTAAAACCACTGGCTCTGGCCAGGCGACCGTGTCTTCGTGTTTCAATAATTCTACTGGTAAACCGGGGCGGCAACGGGTAACATACCAACAACCGGCAAAAACACTCAAATCGATACACACACGCATAAGATAAGGAACATCGGATTCCCTTATATCCATGATAGTATCCAGTGGATCGCCACGCGTCCGAGTGTCTTTTGTAGAAACTGTTGAGTTGGATGTCTGTGGATCAGCATTGCCTGCAAAGTGCTCAGCCAACATTTCTGTATAAGTAGATTCTGAGCTTGCGAGCTCCTGGTTGGCTCGCACACGTAAAGCGAGTTCCCGTCGGACCCTCACGAGTTCATCTACACTATAGAACAGCAGTTTCAGATAGGTAGCCTTAATCCCAACCAGATGATTGGGAAGGTCAAGGTCCTCCTTCTGGACAACCTCCACTCCAGCGATCCTCCCCGAATAACGTCGCAGCAAATACGTTGTAGCATCCCGTTCAGCGGCGGGACCACCACGGACGAAGACAAAAAAGTAAGGTGCGTAGGGTCTGGTAACTTTGAAACGGGAGCCATCTTCCTGGATGAAGTAAAAGTCAACGGCACTCACTAGTCGTTTGGCATCATCTAGCATATCTGTTGGATGCATGTTCACCAACCAGCCAACTCGGTCACCAGGACCCAAAAACTGTTCAAACCCGTAACGCCGATCACTGATTTCGTTTACTTTGGCCCGTAGAAATCTGGCCTCATTGGATGCAGACGCAGCATTCTCAGCATCTAACGGTTTATCGTTAGATTCTTCGTCCCCAATTTCGATGTCATTCGAATCAGGTGCCTGAATTTCATGTCCTCCACCCTTCCTACCACGAGCAGAGTAAAGCTTTGATGAGTAAGCACCACCCCGCCTACTTCTGAACGACTTCGACATTGCCGGCGCCAACTCCAAGTCTTCCAAATAGGAAGCTAAATGGGTAGAGAAAAACTGGTATAAAGTATGACCGTTAAAAACACGGAAGCGCACCTATCTGTATACATTAAGCGATAAACGAAGGAACAGAGTTCCATAAAAAAATGGATAGCTGCACCATTCGAAAAGATTGGTATTGAACTGCTTATTTTGGCAAGCAGGAATGGGTGGTGGTCCCTCCNTTGTCTACCAACCTAGTTATGATCTGTACCTAACGAAACGGGAGCTTTTTGACGACTCGTAGATCTACCGGGCGCCACATAAAACCCAGTTACTTCTTCGTCCATCAAATCGTCAAGGCCATCGTGGTTGCGTAGAAACGCTCCTCCACCAAGGATAATAGGCTCGCACCTTCTGTGGCACCTGGAAGACTATTCAGACTATTCACTAGCAGTCAGGTCTTTTAGAGAGGTGATGCAGTTCCTCCAACGTTTGAGCAGCAGCTCTACGTCTTGCAGTCCAGGTCACAAAGGCAAAAAATCTTAGCCGAATTTCCTCCTGATTCAAAAGTCCGAAACCAGCATGGACCACATTTATGCACGAGAGCTGTAAAGTTTCTGACCCGCACCACACCCCGGCAACTCACCTTCAAAATATTTACTCCCTCAACCGTCATCTTGAGTGGTGGGATGAGCACTTCAAAGAAAGGCTTAAATAATCTTCACCACAACCGCTGAGTAAGCCCACCCTAATCTTCTTCACCACAACCGCTGAGTAAGCCCACCGGGCCCAAATGGAACATCGACAACAGCCCACAATCAGCAACCCAAATCCAGAATGATGCATCAATTCCTAAGCTCGACAAGACAGCTTCACGGATGGTCTGCAGCCCGCACTCTTCAACGAAGGTGGCGAGGTCCTGGTGAACAACCATACTGCAGAAGATTTGGAATGAAAACAGGATATCAGCGGAATAACACCCCTTGACCGTCAACTCAGTAGTCTAAGAGAGCGCCTGACGTCAGGTGAAGACCATCGTGGTATCAGCCTGGTATTATTCGCACCTGACATTATTTTGAGCAGGTTAATGATTATCGGGAGAGACATTCGTGAGAACCCAGCTGAGTTTCCCCTGACCATGAATGCACAGACTATATCTTTACCTTGAGACAAGTTCTTGAACAACGCCACTTCTTCAGACGTCCTACATTGGGCATTTTTCTTGATCGATCGTCAGAAACTTTAGCAGTGTCTAGAGATCAAATGCGTTCCTTCCAAATTTATCTCCATTATGAGGGCACGCACTCCTGAGGGTGCGTGTAACGTTCGGTGAACGCTTGTTGATTCCTTCACACCTACCGACACTTCATGACTCTCATTCCACATTTCAGACACTACTTGGAGTATAAACTTCACCTGTATTTTCCTTGATATTTGCGTCGGATCTGCTCAAAGACCTGTGGTACAATCTTGAATGTACGTTCGTATTGAATCATTGCTATGTATTAGCCATTGACACTTCTATTCAATCAATAACCGTTGTTTATTTGTTGTTATTACAGAACCATACCGAATACAACGACAGTCTTCTCGACTTAACAAAAGACTTCGGGTGCGTATACTCAGATAGTATCTCAGCCGCATATCTTGCATCAATCACCTAGGTTCAAAGTGAAACCTAAAGTTATTCAAGATGTCGCAATCTGACGATGGATTACGTCCTCCAGTATTGTCACGTAACGCTTCTCCTACAGAGCGTGACGCAGTACATTCATCGGATAATCTCCATATGGAGCTGGAGCTCGCACGCGTGCGCATCAGAGAGTTGGAAATTCAACTTGAACTGCAGAAACTTTCTGAAGCGAAAGCCAAAAGGAACAATCAGGACGAATGCGATTCGCACACTCAACTTCAATCAGATCCAGCTGATTCGAAGTCCATAGCCTTTGCCCTGGAAAGGCGACTGGAATTACCGAAGCGCGAATTGCAACGCTTTAGTGGGAACCCGAAGGACTATTGGGCCTTCATGAAAGCGTTCAGTAGTACTATTGAAGACCGTACCCGAGACGACGAGGCTCGCCTGGGTTATTTAATACAATATTGTGACGGTGAAGCAAAAAGAAGGATTGAGCATTGTACGGTCCTACGACCCAACGAAGGTTACGGGCTCGCGAAGGAAATTTTAAGAAAGCGATTCGGCCAGAACTACATGGTGGCCCGAGCGTTTATCGACGATTTGATCACTGGGCCCACTATAAAAGATGGTGATTCGTCCGCCCTATCCGATTTGGCACAACAGCTGACCGTGTGTGAGGTAACATTAAGAGAAATGGATTATTCGTCCGATCTTAATTCCCAACATACGATTCAGACCATTGTACGAAGATTACTTCTCGACTTCGTTTCAAATGGGCCAAAGCTGTCGCTAACATCAGACGAGAAGATCGTCAGCCAAAAGTTACTGACCTTACTGCCTTTATCGAAGCACGTGTTGATAGCCTGTGTTCGGATTACGGCGAACCTGCTCTCAGTCTAGCGTCCGAGGAACGAGCGAGGAAAAGGCCACCACTATCCGGTCAAATACACGGTAGAAATATTCATTCTACTCAAACGTTAGCTACTCGTACCGGTATCGATCCTCGCTGTGGTGTCTGTGGCGAAGCCCATTATCCTGATCAATGTACGCAATTCATTGCAGAGTCATCAGAAAAACGTCGCGAAATCGTAATGTTCCGTAAACTGTGCAATTTGTGCCTAGGCCCGAATCATGTCGCGAAATTCTGCAGGTCGCGAACAGCCTGCTCTCTCAACGGATGCAACGGTCCTCACCACCATTTGTTACATTTAAATGTTGTTCAGAATGATGAATAACCAAGCGCTTCATCACATCACACTTCTCTACATCACTCCGACCAAGCGTTTCCGCGTGTTTCCTCGCGCGGTGTAGCTATTGCAATCGTTCCAGTTATCGTCAGAAATGGAGCTTGAACCATCAGTACATGCGTCTTTCTCGACATTGGCCCAGATTCCTCATTTATCTCTCAAGCCCTTGCGACAAGACTAAATTTGCGTGGTCAGCATACCAAACTCACCTTGAAAACATTGACTAACGATAAAACTCTTCAGTCAACAGAATTGAGGTATGATGTAGATTGTCCGGGTTCAAATGAACCAATCTGTGTTCAACGAGCATGGGTGGTGAAGAACCTTCTTAAAATTAGCCGAATTGTTCCAAACCACTACCAGCTAGCAAGATGGACACAATCAAAGGATGTCCCATTCGATAAATACGACACCAAGATCGGTATTTTACTCGGATCCGATGTACCTAAGGCTCATTGGATAGAGGATAGGCACCCCAGACGAACCATTCGCTATCAAAACGCCACTTGGTTGGACATTGATGGGTCCATTGTATAAATGTGGTACACATTCCTTTGTAAATCACACGATATGTGATTTTGAGAAAAACCTAGAGCGTTTTTACCAGCAAGATGTGCTGGATCCTGGACCGCCAAAAGACAAGGAAATGTCCGTTTTAGACCGAAGGGCTCTCACTATAATGCAAAACACCGTGATATTAAAAGACGGCCATTATGAAATAGCATTACTATCGTTGACCGATCCTTACTCGTTACCTGATAACAAGTCGGCCGTCTTCCGTCGACTAAGCCAGCTGCGTAGACGACTGTTGCAGTGCGACGAGTTGCGTGAACGCTACTGTGAAATCATGAGCAGAAACAGTCTCACGCGGAACGGGCGCAAG